GCAGTGCAGGAACCGGCAAATCATGTCTCCTCCATCAGTTCATTGAGAATAAGTGTGAGTTCCTGGGATTGGCTCTAGGACCTGTGGGTGTGGGCCTCGCACCAGCCAGCGGGCAGCTGGTGGGGTTGGGCAGGGGCAGGGCTGGTCAGAGATGCAACCCTCTCATTGTATGCTCGGTCCTTGTCTTGGTGCTTGCTCTTTGCTGGGTCCCTCCGTGACCCTCCGACAGCCCAACAATGAGAATGAATCTGTAGAGTCAGGTCCTCCCTGCCTGGGGGTGGGGCCATGGGGAGTTGGGAGCAGGGATCCTCTGAGCCCTGGCCCTGCCTCCCCTCTCTCTCCAACTCCCAGTTAAACAGGATTCCAATCACACCATCGGCGTGGAGTTTGGATCCCGGGTGGTCAACGTGGGTGGGAAGACTGTGAAGCTACAGATTTGGGACACGGCTGGCCAGGAGCGGTTTCGGTAGGTGGGCCCTGTGTGGGCTGGACCCTCAAGGAGAGAGAGAGAGAGAGAGAGAGAGAGAGAGAGAGAAGTTCAGAGTCTCTCAGAGTCACTGCAACAGGAGCAAGGAGAGGGTGTGAGAGAGAGGAGAACATGATTAGCAGACACATCGAACTGAGGGCTGAGGGAGCTGTGGGGAGAGAAACACAAATACAGAGCAGATAGCGGCAGAGAAGGAAGCAGTAGAGAACCAGGGTAAGTCAGACAGACACCAATGACACCTTGACCCTAAACCATGTGACCAGAGGGCTGGAGACGCATGCCTGGGAACAAGGAAGCCCTGAGGGTTAGAGGGAGACACTGAGAATGGAGAGATGAAGCAGAAATAGAAGGACAGATGAAAGGCAGGTGTGTTTACAAAGGAAAGCGCTCCACTCACTGCAGCCCAGCTGATTCTGACCCAGGGACCATACGGGACAAAGCTCCTCAAGGTGCCTGCGAGTGTTTGCCTTTATGGGAGCAGGCAGCCTCATCTTCCTCCCTGAGAATTGGCCAGGGAGCTTGAACTGCTGCCCCTGAGGTTAGTAGCCTGACGCTTACCCTCCTTTGCTACTGGGGCTTGGCCAAAGTGGAAAGAGACGAAGAGAGAAATGAGCTGGGGGGTGGCCCGGAAAGCAGAAGCCAGAGAGACAGGGAAGAAAGGGAGGGTTTTGAAGAGTTGGGCAGCTGTGCTCGGAGATGGTGGAATAGATGTATCAAGAGAGACAGGCAGGCAGCAGTGCCCGCACAAAGTGAGTCTTCAGGAGACGTCTGCAGGGAAAAGACACACAGAAGCCTGGAGAGAGAGTCTGAAACCTAGAAGTCAAGGAGAGGAAACGAGGGAGTCCAGCCATGGAGAGTTGTGATTCCCAGGCAGTAGCAGGAGCTGCTAACTTAACATCGGGTTGTTCATGTGCGACCTGAGTGGTGTGGAGCCCTGAGGCAGAAGGGCAGAGGAGAGATGGGTGCTTGGCATGAGGAAATGCTCTGCAAATGCTTCTGGAGTGATTCCATGAGCTGCCAGCAGACTCTGAGTGGACACTACAGGGAGATGCCACATCGGCCACACTGAGGAAAGGACACATCTCCTGGACAGGGAGGAGAGGGCCAGACAGCCGGAGTTGCATCACACTCATCCAGGACTTAGCAAAGGGGAGCTCTGGAGAACAAGGTGTGGTGAATGAGTGGGTAGATGGGAAGGTGGGAACAAAGATAAGGCGGGGAGAGGGAGAGAGAACCAGCACGGAGTTCACACACCAGACGGAGACAGGCAGAGAATGAGACAGAAGTCAAAGAAGAGACACTGATGGAGCAACAGCGCACAGACACACAGACAGCTGGGTGAGAAAGCCATCGGGTGGGGCAGATGGAGAGGCCAGGTTTTAGGGATGAGCTGGCACTGAAGGGGAGGGCTCTGAAACGCTAGTCTCTCTCCGCAGAGGGGGGCAGCCTCGGGTTAGACCCCAGCCCCAGGGGTGACTGGGTCCCCCTGGCCCCACAGGTCGGTGACGCGGAGTTATTACCGAGGGGCAGCTGGAGCCCTGCTGGTGTACGACATCACCAGGTGGGTGCACGGTGTGGGCAGGGCCGGGCCCGGACAGCCCCTCTCCTGCGCCCGCCTCCCGCCTCTCTTCCCTCCTCTGCAGCCGGGAGACGTACAATTCGCTGGCCGCCTGGCTGACGGACGCCCGCACGCTGGCCAGCCCCAACATCGTGGTCATCCTCTGTGGCAACAAGAAGGATCTGGAGCCGGAGCGGGAGGTCACTTTCTTGGAGGCCTCCCGCTTTGCCCAGGAGAACGGTGAGGGCCAGCTGGCCGGGAGGGTGGGGCTCAGTCCACCCCTGTGGGCATCTCTGCCGCGGGACGCGGGACGGGGAGGTTCTGGGCTCTGGGCTCACATCCGGACTTTGCCACGCATGAGCTGTGTGGCAGACTGGGTTTCTTGGTTACTTCATCTGCTGCGTGGGCTATGCCACGTGGCTGCCACACAGTGAGCGCGCCGTGAAGGTGGATGGGAGTCACAGGTGGCTTGGTGTGGGAAGTTGGTGAATATCGGCCGTGATGGTTTGTGTCACCACGGGGAGGTAACGTAAGGTATTGGCAATCCAGGTGGCCCCAGAGGGCAGACCCATTTGTAGATAAGGAAGGTAGGACCAGGCTAGAGCCTCAGTTAGAGCCGGGGGAACCAGGAAGAGTGGACAAGACCCCCCAGGCCAGGTCTAAGGTTCATTTGACACAGCATGTTGGCCAAACGCACATCTGCTGTCCTGGGGTCGGTTTGTGGCCACATCCAGGCTTGGAGACCAGGCTTTGCCATCGGAGAGTGGGTGAATTTGACTCCCGGCTCTTCCTTACTGTTATGGAGAGACAAAGATGGGACCGAGAGCCTGTGCTACCAGGTTCTGGGGACACAGCCAGGAAGATGGCCGTGGGCCCAGCCCACATGGGGCCCATGCGCCAGTAGGGGCTGAGGCAACCGCTTCTTTTCTGATAGAGACAGCCTGGGGTGGGGCGAGAGTGGGGCGGGGTGCACAGGTGAGGAGGCTGTAGGAGGCGCAGAGAGGGAGGCCTGGCCAGAGGGTTATGGACTGGAAAGGGGAGGGGTAGGCAGAGGGGTCCACGGTGGGAGGGAGAGATGTAAAAGCAGAGGGGTCTGAAATGGGAAGGGCCTGCCGTGAGGGCAGGTGCAGAAGGTGTGAGGAACATATTGGGAGACGTTAGGGCAGTGCTGGGCAGAAGGGTGGGGACTGGCTGAGGCGCTGACCCTTGGGGCGGCTGTGTCCCCCCTCCTTGCCCCCCAGAGCTGATGTTCCTGGAGACCAGTGCGCTCACAGGCGAGAACGTGGAGGAGGCCTTCCTGAAGTGTGCCCGGACCATCCTGAACAAGATCGACTCAGGTGAGGCCCTTGACTGGCTGCAGGGGAACGGCTAGCTTCAGGGGCCAGGCCTGAGCTCCCTCTTGCCTCCTCCCCACAGGTGAACTAGACCCCGAGAGGATGGGCTCAGGCATTCAGTACGGTGACGCCTCTCTCCGCCAGCTGCGGCAGCCCCGGAGTGCGCAGGCCGTGGCCCCTCAGCCCTGTGGCTGCTAAGACCCAAGGAGCCAGGTGGGACGCTGCTGGGACCTCGGGGATGGCAGGGTTGGGAGCAGGGAGTAGAGACAGTTGCGGGAAAAGACAGAAAAAAAAAGATGGGGCAAGGGAAGCTGAGCGAGAGGCAGATGTAGACTCCTGAGCCCCTGGAGCCCTCATCTGGGCCCCGGCCCTCTCCTGCCCCATATCCCCGCTGTCCCCGTCTCTGTTCCGCCCATTCGTCAGGTGTTCGTGGAGGGCACAGCAGTTGCGTGTTGGCTGCAGTCCTTAAGGTCTGCAGTTTGAACCCACCAGCCGCTGCTCGGGAGAAAGGAGGCTTGCTTTCTACTCCCGCAAACAGTTACCGTCTCCGACACTCAGCAGAGGCAGTTCTACGCTGACCTGTTAGGGTCGCCAAGAGTCAGCCTTGACTGGAGTCGGTGACGGTGCTCCAGGCCCGGTATAGGCACAGACAAAATAGGTGAACAGCCCCTGCCCTCGTGGAGCTGAGAGTAACCAAGACACCCCAGGGAGCCGCAGGTTAACTACAGCTGCCCGAGGAGGATGGTGAGGGGAGCTCCCCGAGGAGGTGATGTTTGAACAAGCCTGGAAGAGGGTGAAGGAGGGAACCACGGGGGGGCTCTGGGAGACGAGGTCGGGTCCCAGCCAACCCGGTGAGAGTGAGGAGGCCAGTGCGGCCGGAGTGGAGTGTGGTAGGTGGAGGAGAACCGGAGACGTGGCAGGGGAGGGGCCAAGGGAAAGAAGCAGACCCAGCGGGCCTCGTGGGGCCACGGGAAGGGTCTGGGCTCTCCCCCCAGTGGAGTAGAACTGTGAAAGAGCTCTGAGCAGGGAAGGGACATGACTTGGTTACAGTAGCCACAGGCCCTGGCTGAACAGGAAAGCAAGACCCTGAGGGGCAGGGTGGGGGTTGGGGCACCCGTGGGGAGGCTCCCGGTGGGAGGAACAGGACCAAGGTGAGAGGATGCAGGAGGGAGTTGAGAAGTGGATGGGTTCTCTCCTCCCTAGTTCTCTTGTCTCCAGTCTCATCCCTACTTGACAGAGCTACTTGGATCTTACATTCTCTCTCTCTCTTTAACTGGAATAGAGAGAGGGATGACTATATCAATATTTGAAAAGTATGAAAGGAAATTCCATGACCAGAGTACTGACCTCTTCCCGAGATACAAATGAGATCTGGTTCCTCTCCTGTCTGAAGCCATGTCTCTCTGACTTCCGGGAGCTCCTTAACCTGGTGCCTCTCCACAGGGACTGTCCCCTGCCCGTGTCTGAGCAGCTGGAGCCATCCCCACCTCCCAGCCTGGTCCAGCCATCCGAAGCTCTGCGCCTTTATTCCGGCTGTTCCCTCTGCTGGGAACACCGTTCTTTTCCCTCTTCCGTGGTGTGCCGTGACAGGACAGCACCGGGTCTGTGGCTCTTGGTCAGCACAGACACTTCTGGAGGTTGGGAGCCTGAGGGCAGGTTGTCAGTCTGGTTGATTCCTTCTGAGAGGCGAGGGAGGGCAGTGTTAACTCCCGGAAAGGGCAGTGTTAACGCTCCGCGGCGCCCTTTCTCTGTCTTCCCGCCTCTGTGACTGTTCCCGTGAAAATACTATAGCTCAGTGAACCAGGCGACGAGCGAGCGCTCAACTCATAACTGAAAGGTTGGCGTTTTGACCTCGGCAGTGCCCCAACAGACAGGCCTGGACAATCTGCTTCCACACAGTCCCCGTCTGAGCAACACTGTGGAAGAGTCCTCCTCTTCATTCATGAAGTTACCATGGCTCAGACTCAACTTGATGGCCACTCCCCACCCACAGCCGTGGCTTTGCTGTTAGGCAACCGTTGATGCAAACACATCTGGCTATCAGGGCACTCGCTGTGGGGGATGGGGGGCCCCTGCACCACATGTTCAGGAGCCCCCGTGGTGGAGCGAGTTACACTTTGGGCTGCCAACCACAAGGTCATAGAAGGCCTTGTGGGCCCCCAGGAAGGATTTGGGCTCTCGCCCTGAGAGAGTTCCGAGCAGGGAAGGGACATGACTTGATTCGAGTGTGCGTAGGCTCTGGCTGACAGGAAGACCAGACCACCAGCGGCTCGGTGGGAGAAACATGAGGCTTTCTGCTCCCGCCAAGATTGACGGTCTTGGAAACCCATAAGGACGATTCTTCTCTGCCCTGCGGGGTTGCTCTGAGTCAGACTTCAGCCGATGGCCCCGAGTTTGGGTTGGGTTTGGCACCGTTAACGGATAACATCTTCAAAGACCTTATTCCACACGGGGTGACGCTCGCCATACGGGACACGAGGCTTTAGCATCACTTTCCCCCCCTGATGAAAACACAGGAATTCAACAGCGTGTGCCCGTCTGTCTTTTCAAGGTACATTGTATTTAACAAGGATGTTACATTTCCCGACATAGTCTTGTCTTTGGAGAAATCTTTTCTTGTCTTTAAGAAAATGTTTCCAGTCAAGGTTTGCACAGTAGTTTAAGTTCAATACTTTCTGCACCAACTGGTTACATTCTTTCCAAATGTGAACCTTCTCATGATTTCTGTTATGTTAGTTCCATTTCCAGGAGTCTTACTTCCTGCCCCCTTACTGCCTTATCTCTGTTTAAAAGCAGTCGCTAACCCTTCAAAGTTGCTTTGAGCATTTGAGGTCTCTTGTCTTCCCATAGGCACCCTGGTGGCACGATTTATTAAGCATCGGTCTGCTAACCACAAGGCTGAAGGTTCAAACCCACCAGCCGTTCTTTGAGAGAAAGCTACATCCTATAAAGATGTATAGCCTTCTAATCCCTATGGAGCAATTCTACTCTTTTCCTACAGGGTCACTATAAGTTGAAATCGGTCTGAGAGCAGTGAATGTTGGCGGTCTTTCCATACAGTATTGGGAATTTTTCCATTTGTCTAAAGAATACACTCCGTATTTTGATCGGCATTGCATTGCATCTCGGATCACTTTGGCTCGTATTGACCTCTTGACTGCCGGTATGTGACGTCTTCTATTCCGTGACCACGGAATGTCTTTCCATCTGTTAAAGCCTTCTGTTAGAAGCCTGACGGCTGTATACCCCTGCTTTCAGAACAGAATTCCCTTTTATTCCTATCTTATTCCTTTCTTTATCCTTTCTGTCAGTGGTGTATTACACCCAGTGATTTCATAATATTGAACCAACCTTGCATTCCTGGAATAAATCCCACTTGATCATGATGTCTTTTTTTAAAATTTGAATAAATCACTTTATTGGGGCTTTTACAGGTCTTCCAACAATCCATACATCAGCTGTATCAAGCAACATTTGTTGCCATCATCATTTCCAAAACATTTCTTTCTACTTGAGCCCTCGGTATCAGCATTTCGTTTTGATCATGATGTCTTGTAATGTGCCGTTGGATTATGTTTGCTGGTATCTCACTGAGGAATTCGGCATCTGTATTCACAGGGCGATGGGCTGTAGATTCGCTTTCTCCTTGTCTTATTTTGGCTTTGCCCCAGAGTCCTGCTGGCTTCATAGAAAGAGGGGGGAGTGTCCTTCCATTTTTCCATGGAGCTCAGACAGGATTGGTTAGTTCTTTTGTCAGTGTTTGCCAGGACTCTGCCGTGAAGACAACTAGTGCTGAACTTTCCTTAGTTGGGAGACTTTTAACAATTGATTTAATAACTTCATTTGTTATGGGGCTATTGAGCTATTTCCCTTTGAGACAGTTTCAGTTGGTAATAGGCTTCTAGAAATTCGTCTGTTCATCAAAGCTACCCATTTTGTTGAATTAAGTTATTCATAGTATTGTACTCCTTTTTAATCCGATTGGGTCGGTTGTACTGTCCCTACTTGCATTTATTTTGGCTAATTGCGTCTTCTCTCATTATTTCTTCGTCAGCCTAGCAAGAAGTCTGTTCATTTGATTGGTCTTTTCAAAGAACTGATTGACAGTTTTGTTTGTTTTCTCTGCTGTGTTCTGTTCGGTGTTTCCTGTTTCTGCTCCGATCTTTACTGTTTCTTTTCTGGTGGCTTTATGTTTAGTTTGCTCTTTTTCTAGTTCCTCAAGCTGTAAAATTAGGATTTTTGAGAATTTTCTCCTTTAGTTAATAATAGATGTTTATTGCTGTAAGTTTTCCTCTGAGGACTGCCTTCATTATATTGCATAAATTTTGGTGTGATACACATTATTTTCACTTATCTCCAAGTATTTATTTGTTTTATTTTGATTTCTTCGGTTCAGTAGTTATTTAATAGTGAATTGCTTAATTTCCATTGGTTGACGTGTATTCTAGTTTTGCCATCATTATTTTCTGATATTTCTCCTTTGTTAACAGAGAAGAAAAAATTCCTGGTGTAATTTCAATCTTAACAAATAATTTTTAGACTTGTTTTGTGGCCCGGCTCATGGTCTGTCCTGGGATATTACCCATGTGCACAAGAAAAATGTGTATTGTTCTGATGATGGGTGGACTGTCCGATATATTAGATCTTATTATTTAAGTCCTTGATGTCCTCTCTGGTCTTTTTAGATGGTCTGTCCATAATTGCAAGTGATGTATTAAAGTCCCCCAACTGTTATTGTAAACTCGTCTATGATTGCTTTCATATCAGCATTTGTTTTAAAGTTTTCAAGGCACTGACTTTTACAGGGCTCTGTAAAAATGGTCTCGTGGTTGGGAGGGTGGCGGGTGGGGATACGTATCTCACCTCCTCTGGCTTCACAAAGGGGAAGGAGACCCAGACTTCACATCCACCTGAAGCTAATTCTATGAGGTGGAGCTCAGACATGCCTCCAACCTTGGACCTCCTTTACCCATCCTGACACCAACCATCCCTTTCCATGCTGTTCTGTACCTCTCTGCTCAGTTCCATAATTAACTGCTGTGGCCACACAGGACTTATTGACCATACTCACAATTATGGGGTTTAGTAGAGAAATCATCAGGTTAAACCAGGATCAGAAATGCTCAAGATACATTACTCCTATCAGGAGTGCTGCTGCTCAGGCATGCCTTGCTCTGGCCACATAGCCTCTTAGCCTCTGTCCTGCCCTGGGT